TCCCTACAGGTTTCACTTCCTGCACGAAGCAAATATAATAATTCCTGCTAGTCATCAGTGCTCAAGTGTTGAGACTTCCAATTCCTTTCTACACCATCACCATCCTTTTCCAAACACCAAATGCAGCCAACTGACTTCTGACACAATCAAGCTGCTAAGCTAAGGAAGTCACCAATGTATAACACCTCTTTGAAATACTTCTCCCATACATATTAACATAACAGACAAAAAGGTTCACCTTATGTTCTTCTAGCTGTTTTTGAAGAGATTCCAAATCTTCCGCTAAGAGCTGAGATTCCATCTTCTGAATGCGTTCTTCAGTGACTGTCAGCCAGTCAGAGAGCTGCTGCAACTGCTGCTTCTGGAGCTCCATCAGCGTGTCATGCAGGCTGCAGGGGGAAGCACAGACTGAGTTATTCTGGAAATAGCTTTCCTAAGGAAAGTAACTAAATTCTAGTTTATATAGGAAAGAAGCAAGTCCATTCATAAAACAGTAACCTATCATCAAATAGCCTTTTCACCATTAAGCTAAGGAACACAGTTAAGTATCCCTCTTTCTTGCTCAACAAAAAAAGTCGTGAATTATGCAATTTCTATCAGGAATTGTTTCTTCCAACAGGGATTTGTTGCTAATAAAGCCTTTGCTGAGAGTCACAACAAAATGCAGTTTCTCCCTTCATGTGCAACTTTCAGCTTGGTAACTCACAAGCAGGAAAAAATTACTTCTAAATGCTTTTTAGTTGTGTAAATACCCATAGCTATCCACATCTACTGTATGCTTTATTGAGAAACTTAACTTTGTTTTTAAGAGTGTTCTCATAGTTTACATAACTATTGCACTTAAATACCATATATTTAGTCTGGCACATCTACATAACGGTCACAAAATACTTTATATAATAATAAACAAACAAACCCCAACCAGTTATACTCATTCCACATTGGAAACTATGAAGAATGTGGATTTCATGGCACAAACTGAAGAGTTAATTCTAAAAAACAGTCTTACAATCTGATGTAAACCAACTTCTCCAAGCTATAGTAAGTACCAAAAGTTGGTCCTGCACCTCTAGATGAGGTTGTGTGTCATGACTCACCGGGACTGCCTGTCCATGCTCTCCACCCTGAGTTCCTCCCAGCGGGAGTTCAGTAGCAGCATTTGCTCCTGGATCTCAAACTCCTCTTCAGGTGACAGATTTCCCTGGGCCACCAGTTGGTTTCCAGCCTGCAGAACATTGCCCACACTGCTCTGGTGCGCAGTCAGTTCCATCATAAAACACTGGAAATGGTACAAACAGACACATCACTGTGAGATCCTACAGGAGTTTAGGAATTTTTTCAATGTCCTAATAAATTGTCAAGTTTGAAACAGTGCTGCAGAATTAGCTGGCACCATCAAACACACAAGCATGTCACATCTGCTCCTCTCCAGGGAGATTCTCCATGAGTATGAAAATTCTGGAGCCAGTAAAACAGAATTAACCGAGAAAAACAACATGATCACCTCAGAGAAAAATCTGGAAGACAACAGCCTTTGAAGAAATACGCCAGGAATATGAAACTGAAACTTACCTATAGCCAACAGAACATAAAACAAGATCTGAAATGTATTATAGGAATGCAAGTAGAACCCTATAAATTAGTAACATTTAAAAATTCATATATTTACTATAAATCCAGAACACCTTTTCCTTTGCTTCATGGCTTTAAAACTGTAGCACAAGGAAAAAATTCTTCATATCGACTAGCATTAAGATTTTATATTCCTTTGTATACAGTGTGTACTGACACAGGAGAAAACATCTAACATGACACCTGAAACTTCTAGCAACATTAGGGCATTTGTTCAGACTTAGAGTCAAACCAAAATAATTTGGAAACAAGAATATTTTGGAAGGATCAACATGTATTTCTGAAACAAACTATCCTAATCATCACAGGGAGACCACTGAATTAAATCAACATGATTATCAATTTCAGCACTGCCCTCATTTAACAGCAAGTGACATAAGGCTGACCAGGCTTTTTAACAGTTGGCAGCAGAGAAGTGTGATTCAGTCTGGATCAAACTGCCTTTGTATTATAGACACCAGTAAGCCAGCTAGAAAAAGTTGATTTAAAAAATATGTTGAAGTTTCAAAGCATGTTCCACTGTAAGTCTAAGAAGATCAATATCACCTTCAAGCAGCTATTGTCTGACAACAAAAAACAAAACAAAACAACACAACGACAAAACAACCCAACATCACATTCAGTTAGAGGTGCTTGTAGAAGACAGACGAAAGAAACAGAATGGCAGGTCTTGAATAAGGACTAAGAAGTTCTGCAGCTTACACACCTACACAAAAAGCAAGACCAAACCACAGCAAAAAAAATTACGAGAGAAGCTTACTTCATGAGTGGAAAATTGACTTTTGACTTCCTCAACATCACCAGATATTTCCTCCTGTTCCCGAAATGCATCCTCAGCTGACAGCAACCACGTAAGAACTTCTTCCAGAGCAACTTGGTAGCTATCCAAGTCCATATCCACCTCTGTCACTGTGCTGGGAGTCTCTGCTCTAGAACTGTCCTGCTCCTCTTCAAGTGCTACAGTCTAGGCAGCCAAGAGAAAAGTGATGTCTTAGAAGTGCACAGAAAATGCCTTCCCAAACAATATTAAAAACAGAACAACTGGGATCCCTTTTAATCTTTCATAACAAGTTCAAAGTAATCATTGGGTACATTTTCATGAGGAAGGTCATAGTCATTACTAATGAACTTTTGTTTTAAAACAAGAATCTGGATAGAAAAGACAGCTTTAATCTTGCTTAACAGTAAATCTCACAAACAAACAGAACCCCACCACTACCACTACCCATCAAGTTCAATAGCAAATTCAGTTAAACATTTTGGGTCACCCTCTCTACCTGGTCAAGACTAGCAAGGTAAGACAGAGAAGCAAAGGAAAGAAGCATAAAAGAAATGAAACTTCATATCTCAACACACAGGATTTTGTACATGAATCAGAAAAGGAAGACTGAAAGACTGAAGTCAATCACAAAGAACGTGATTGACTATGATTTCTCGCATTTTCCCAGTTGTGTTGTCCAAGACAGAAGGCATGTTCCACAGGTAATGGACAAACCTGAAGACCAGCTAAAACTGCAACTCAAGAAAAGATGGGCTGACTTTAATAACACACACACCTGCTGCATATTGAACTCTCCATCCTCACATTCCTGTTTGTATCTCCTTGGAAGGGTTTCCACCTCCCGAATGTCTTCCATTGTGACTTGCTTAGGAAGGACCTCAAACAAAGAGGTTAAATACATAATAATAGACTTTTTGTCTGGAAGCTGTACAGCAACATCTGCAGCAAAAAGATAAAATATGGGAAAAAATACATGAAGGAGCCAGTTTTCTAGATCATTACTTAGAACACAGGTAAGACTTTATACATTGTGTAAATTACAGGTTCTCCTGTTAAGTAGTCTTTAGTAAGCTTTTAACTTAGAGACCATGTTTGATAAAGGTTCAAAGTAGCATGGAGAAAAAAAAAATTTCTACATTAGAAAGTGAATTCATATTAAACAGTTTGATCTCTTTGAAGTAAGAGCCCAAACATGAAGTTACTATGGAATAAAAACTGTTTGGGGAAAATTATTCTGAAGCATCTCCCTAGCAGAAATGCAGTGCATGGGCAGTATTCTGCATTTAAAAAAACAAAACATTTCCACTTAGGCTCTATCCCCACTCCCAGCACTGGTCAGTTAAATTTCTGATTTTCCATACTGAAAAGAGTTTCACTGACTCAGGTTCACTTATCTCTTGGGTTATGAGCAGTATCCATTCAGTTAATACTTTTTTTTTTTTCCTTAGGAAAGCAGTGCTTGAATCTATAAAGTTTGAGAGCTTGTCTTATAGAATGAATCTTTGGAGGCTCACTTCAAAGCAGAACAAGAGCTCAGTATTTTAAAAAGGAGCTGTAAAAGTTTCCTGGTAAGTGTTCTTACACAGTATATACTCACAGCACTGGCAGCTACTACTACTCAGTGTATATAGAAGAACAACAGATCGTGAGCTCTTAAACTATCCTATTCTATGTAATGCTGTATTTCATCTGAAAAGCACACACCTTGCAACAGGACTCCTACCTAAAATGAAAGAAAGTCAGGGTACCAACTTCAGCTTCTTTATACAGTCTCTGAATGGCAAGTCAACCTGAACCTTAACATTCAAAACAGCAAAGCACATGCACACACAGACATACCCTCACCCTACAAACTACATTACTTTAAACCCAAATTTAAGGGCTCAAGACAACAGCACTGCACAAAACTGATGGAATTTTTATTTTATCTTTCAAGAGAGCTGAAAAAAGCTTCTAGTCAAGTAAAATAACTATTATCCCACCTTCAGGATCCAAGAGTTTCTCAATTCCTAAGTGGTTCTTGGCTATGTTGAAAGCATGTTCCAGTCTTTCAGCTGGGGACAACTTTAGAACTTTATCCCAGCTAAACAGCTCAGGTCTAAAAGTAAAAGGAAGACAAGGAAGAAAGTAAATTTTATCCAAAAAAAATGACATACCATGCAGAATATCACATTATGGATATAACAGCAGCTACCCAAGTTTTATAAACATACATACAAAATACCAACATTAGTGCATATACACAAATGTATAAATACAAATATGTGCTTTTTTATAAGTGAGAATCTGTCAATCACAAATCAATTAACTGACTGCATATTCACAGGACACCCACCTTCCATTCTATGTGTTCTAACCATAGAGTCATTGACTGTAACAGGAGATCAAATAGTACTAACAAGAATACATAGACTTTGTTTAAAGTTTATCCCAGAACTAGTTTTCTTCAACCACTTCTTTCACAGCATTGCTGTTACTACACATTCCCTGCATCAGGCACTGCTAGGTAACCAAGAGTCACTCTGTTCCTGGAAAGCCTCATTCCCAACTTGTCATGTGGTTCAGTGACCACCTCAGACCACCACAGCCAAGAGCAACAGCAGACTCCACCCCACTCACTCACCCTTCCCCATGGCATTTTTTCCCCCAAAATAAATAACAATCTACAGAAAACACCCCATCACGAGTGCTCATGAGTCACAATGCAAATAAGCCCAAGGAGGGGACTGATTTGCAATCAGCAGCTTTCACCTTAGACCAGGGTTAACCCAACCACATCTCCAGTCCAGCTGTGCACCCAAAACACCCGGGCAGGTCTCAAAGGGAAAGATCAGAACATGGAGCTGATAGTGGGGTGAACAAACAGCACCTGTTCTTAGTGGTACCTACACCAACAGGGCATGATCAGCCAAGTGCTGCAGCAGCACAGCTGTTCAGCTGCAGCCCCATTAAAATACCTTCCATTCCCCTGCAACAGTGGCTTCTCATCAAAACACTGCTATTGATTCTGTACTTTACAGAACTTGGGGAGGAAGAGATAGGTTTTCCTTTAAGTCTTTTAATATTTGATTCAGTTGTAAATTGCCCTAAGAGCATCCTTTATTGTCTGTGGAGTCATTACATTTGTGAAAGAGGAAGGCCATAAAACCAGAAGGGTCTGAGAAGCAAAAAGCCAGAACAAAGCAGGGTAAGCAGGAACAGACATATGCAAAGATGCTGATAGAAGCTCATGGAATACTGTACCTCCATGCAGGAGCAACAAGGACAACCACATAGATTCATGTAAAGCTTTAGCAGAGACTGACTTCGAAAAACACAATGCAATGAATATATTGCATATGCTGTACCTGCACATTACCATGATAACACAATTTTTAATAAAATGCAATGTAGGTATTTACATGTGAGCAAGAAAACTGAACCAAAGATGATAATTCAATTCAAAGAGGAACTAAGATAATATTAGGAAATGAAAGCGACCAGCACAGTAAAATGTTAATAAAATTATATGAGGTAATTGGTCACTTAAGTGCTGCAGGTGTTAGTGTTACTAGACATTGTAGCCAAGAGGTAGCACCACTAATAATTATTGATAGGTACATAACAAGAAAAAGGAATACTAAATCTCTTACTAAGATATTTTAAAAATCTCCTATTTTAAGTGCCATATTAAACTAAAATGGAAAAAGCAATACTGAAAATGCCCCTTAGATAGGGAAGCACTACTGTCTGGGTAGGCTGAACAGCTTTGTTATCCTAGCACTTCTGCAACCTGCCCCCAGTCTCCTTGTTCCTTGCAAGTGCTTTTAAAGTTTCTCTTTCAAAGCCAACCTGAATCTAAATCTAGCTCAGGATTTCTCCATGTAGGTATAACGGTGTTTTCCTGGCTAAAGGACTAGTGCCCAGAGACAGCAAAACTGAATTCTGACATGCCAACAGCTGTCAGGCTCCAAGGAACAGGAGTAAAAGGCTCAGAGTTGAGCAGACCCAGAGATTTAGGAAGTCATAGGAAAGCACCATTACTCATAGCTTTCAGCAGGGGCTTTTGCTATTTAACAGTGTTCTGAAGAGGGCACTTCAGATCCTGCAAAGCCCAGTCACAGAATCACAACACATAAAACAACAAACAGCATGAAACCAGTTTTGCTACCCCTCTCCTGCTTTCCTCATGTCACCTAGGACTCCTTTGTTTCTATAGCTGGCACACTCTCCATCACAAAGCTTCACACAATCAGCAGCAAAGCAAGGCTGCTACAGGCAACTGTGTCAGGGCGGAAAACCACCACTACAGTTCACACCATCTACAGAAAGGACTTGGTGATACTTCTGATAAACTCCAGAGACCTCTGCAAGTATTGCTCTGCCTTTGCAAAAGTCCTTCCAAACTCTCAGGAGCCCTCAGTGTGGTGCAGGTCCTCCTTACACACCCAGGCAGGCTGAGCACAAGCCAAGTCTGGCCCACAAGGCGTAGAGGTGTGTCAGGGCAGACCCGTCCTGAAGCCAGAGAGCCTGTGACAGAGCCTACTTCAGTTAGCACAGGCCAAATGGGCACTTAAGAGCAGAGAACAGCAGGCATAAAGTGAGCATATGTTTTGCAACACTGTGCATCTACTGGGTATAAACATTATGGGTGTTTGCAAAGCATTTGCTGTGTCAGACACCTGGTGGCCAGGAGGTCTGGTTAAATTCTAGAAATTATCATACCATTACCATGTTAAAATGGTTATTTATGGTTAGGAACAGTCAGACTTTGCAAAGCAATGAGCTGACTTAATTTAAGGTACACTGGATTAGAATGGATTTCCTAGTAGATCTCAAAGAAAAAATATTTTAAAAAGAAAGTAAAAAAAGTTATGCAAGTTTCATAGAAGCACAAAATGATGGTTTCTTTAAACTGCCAAAGACTTCTCCAAAAATAAGAAAAAAACCCACAAAAGATCTGTGCAAAGAAGCTTTAACACTATTCCCTGTGAAGTGTAAGGAACAAACTAATTAATATTCTACAGATACCTGAAGTATTCTGTTACCCTTAGATTCTTCTGCCCAACAGTTCTCCTGAAAAAACTGCATACATTGTCTTTCAACCAAGATATATTTTTTTTAAAAGAGCCTTTCTTATTATTTCATTTTGAAGCTTATCTTCCTATTGAAATATGGCAAACCCCAACTGAAGAAATTTTTCTCTTAGCAGAGGAGGGAGAGTAGAAGTAGAAGGAAGTACTGGTGAAGGAGATGGTCAACTCCCCTCCCTCCCCTGCAGTGACCATTTGAACACATTCACTGTATAATGCATACCAAGCGGGACATAAAACACAAAAATATTCATGCATGTGCAGGAACTGAGTGTTACACTGCATCCTTGGCACTAGCCTTTGCAAGGCTCGAGCAATATCTCTCCACTGCTGTTGTTACCACAACAATAAAAACAGCAAAAAAACCAGACAATGAATCACCAAAAGAGGCTAGAAATGGTCAAATGCTCAAGCATGAAGAGACAAGAAAAAGCTGTTTACTTCACTAGGTCTAAGCTAGGCTGTTTGCTACTTACTTGTGTCTATGGATGACAGCATTAAAGGCAAGTCCATCTGACCAGCTTGTAGTGAAGTTCAAAACGTTGACTTGACTGTAAGGTCTTGTGGACTGCCGAACCCAGCTCAGTAGGATCTTCTCACTGTTGGTCTGCTGCAAATCTGACATGATGTTCTTCATGACATCCTTCACCTGCACAACAGTAACTACATCTTACAGACGTATGCTACATTTTTCTTGCTTACAAAACCAAATTATTTCACAAATCATGAAAGGGTGTTCCCTGTGAAAAGCTATGAATCAAACTCCAACTCCTCACATGAAATTTGGAAATAGGAGTCTTCAGGCCATATATGCACTCTTATTGTAATCTACTGATTCCAAGAACCAGCAGTGCTTCCTATAATAATGGCACATTACTTTTACTAACAATCCTCCCCCTCTCCTCGATGCTGTCTATGGTAAGCATAGGGAATATTTCTCACTGCTATGTGCTACGGCTCCACCAGTAAACAAACCCCCAAAATACAGCACAGGTTTTCTGAAAGAAGACAATATCTTCCCACCCAACAAAAGGAGGCTGATGTTTGGGAACTATCCATATGCAACTGCTAAAGTCCCTCCAAGTGAATTCAATGATCTTCTCGTATACCTGGATAAACCACGAGCCATTCAATCTACAAGACTAACAGACCTACAGAGTAGCATGTAAGATGCAAGTCAAACGCAGCCACCTAGATAGTAAAAAACTACCTGCCTCAAGCCTTTGAGGAAGGAATCTAAATACAGAGCTTCAGCCTGAAAAGCTTCTCTGCAATTAACACCAGCAGGAACTAAACTGAGAGACTGAGTACAACTGAGCACATACGAGAATACGTATTATGGGAGGGAGCCAATAGACTGAGAGCTGAAACTAAATACTGGCCTGCCTTTATTTACCAGCCCAAAATAGAAGCAGTATTTTCTGCCACCAAAACCCTGGGAAGGTCTGAGAAAATCTCAGTAGATCAATGCACACAATTCCTGGAAAGGAAGAGATCTCACAGCAATCTCTCACCTGCCAGTGCAAGATAATGCTCCACAGCAGCCCCAGCGTCAGCTTGTGATTTCCATCAACGATGTCAGTTCCTCCAATATTCACCAACTCCACCTACAGAGGTTGGATCAACTCTGTATTAAACACTGTTATCACAGCTTCAAGTCACAGCCCCACCTCATATCCCTGGCTGTCCAACCACATATTATCAAGTTTTCTGAAATAAAAAGTAGTTAGAAAGAGATAGCCAGAACTGACAGAGAACTGTCTATCTCAATTTGTCAAGACAACATGACAAAAAAATGGCACCAAATTTCCTTACATTCACAGGACTTGACATTGACATGGAAATGGCCTAATTGAGACCATTAAAAAGAGACACAAGGAGATTACTTTAGTAAGCAAGAAGGCAAGTGAGGCAAGCTGCTCCTTCATTAAGCATTCAACCCTCAGAAGAAGCAAAGCTTAGAGCATATGACCAGATATGCACTCAACGCTCCTTTACAGTCTGAATTAAATTGGGGCATCAAATCTCCTTTCAGTTCACACAAAGTGGCACTAACTCTGAACCACCTTGCACTGCATTAGCTGCCACCACACCTATGGAAATTGGGCTAGGAACAGCTGCCTACAGTAGATGAAGCAGATACCTCCCTGGGTTTATGTACACACACAGCAGATGCTGCAACGCCCTCCCAAAACAGGACAGACGGTGGGGCTTTGTTCTTGTAAATAACCTGAGCCAGGAGCATCCTCCAGCTCCAAGGGCCAGTGGCACAAGTGCACTTCAAGTCAATGGGAAGCTTTTTAACTCCTTTCTCACCCCCACTCCAAAACAGTTTTATCCACAGTGTCTACCAGAAACACCTCCCACCTTACGCTGTCTGGGCACAGCTGGCCACAGAGACAAAACCTGCACCAAGGAGCTGGCTAGGAATTAAATAATACCAATGGTGACGAGACAGTAACAGAGGCCATACTCTGACCCTCAGTGGACATAACCTACTGTGACAGAACAGACAAGAAAAAGGTTTAGTCTCATTTTAGATGATACTGCTGATCTATAAAGGCGTAATGCAGACATATAAGACTAGTGTCAGTCCTTCAAAATTTACTTGTAACCTCATTGCTTGACAATTTTCAGATTCCCACAGGTGCCTTGGTTAGGAGAATCAAATCAAAACTGTGTTCCAAGAATAACACACAGCCACAAATTACACTTTGAAGTACTAAGAAAGCTTGTGGATTTGTGACTTTCCCCAATTTTTACAGCAGCTGGAACAGAAACTTACAGCAATACTCTTTGCAAATACCGGGCATGTATTTTGAAATAACTGTAAAGTAGCCAGGCAAGAACAGGCCAAAAGAATCACCAGTGCAAATCATTAAAAACAGACTGGAAAGCACTCTAGTAGACAAAGATCAGAACGCAAGACTAAAGACCACGGGCAAAAAAAATAAAGTGGTTGCATATTAAGAGCTTTTTCACCTATAATAGAATAAAAACACTCCTGAGAACAACAAAAACAAAACACTTCACATTTTTAAATCACGTATCAAGAGTAATAGTAAAAATAACAATAATGCATTCCTCTTGCTATCCATGCATCCATTTTTGTCTTTAAAGGTGCTTTGCAGGATGTAGTCAGCAATCCAATAGGATAGTGAATGGCCTACTGAGACTTAAGCAAAGTTCATGATAAAAAAAGACAGTAGACAGATATGGACAATATGGAATGACTTCCCATGTATTCTTTTAAATTATTATTTTTTAAAATTTCATCCATAGATCAATAGTTAAGCTTCATTACTTAGAACCATTCTGCTAAACGGATGAGGTTCATGGGATCATTTGATCACCTACAGCCTGGGTTTGTCAGATTCTTACAATATATATATATTTAAACACTTTTATAAATTATTTCACAAGTTATGAATATTGCATAGCCCACAAGCTCTCAAGCAACACAATGCAACTGCTTCTCAGTGGATGTCTTTTCCCTTCATCTTAATGCACAACACACTTTCTAATGATGTTAAACAGTAGGTATAAATCAAGTACATGACCTTAACAACCTTCAGCTAACTAATACCATCTGTTTACTTCCTGAAACACAGATCCTGTCTGCTTAAGGAAGAACTAATTAATTATTGCAATTCAGTAGTATTTAATTTATTATCATCATAAAATAAATCAATTTCAAACTAAAAAGACTCATTACTTTCTCTTAGAAAAAAAGTTAATCAATATTTACAGTATCTCAAAGAACAAAAACAAATGACCTGCCTCTAGCTTTGTCTAGGTCCTAGAAATATGACACTAGTCCACCAACACGGAGGGGAAATTGCAATATTATACAGCAAGCTGGTATCACTCTTTGATCAGCAGTTTATATAAATAAATATGCCCATGCCTTTTTGTAATTGATGTATTTTATTGCCAGAATGTTCTTATTAAGTTATTTTAGTGCCCTGACATTCATAAATAGAAATTCTAAGGATAAAGCATGCACTTATCAGGAATTGTTCTTCAGGAGAAAAATAAAATCACTTTACTATAGTACTACTGGCTTCCAGGCAGTAAAATCAAACATTAAAATAAACAATTATTATTCTCATTTTTCTTAAAGGAAGATAGGGCTTTGATTGCTAGTTTTGTTCTTCTGATCAGCTACCCAAGTTGCAAATTAGAAATAGTACACATTTGACACAGAGCTGACAGATGTCAATTAAAAGATCCTCCTGGATACTGAGAACAGGACATATAAAACAGAACCATAAAACCTGTCATATCCTTACAGACTTCTGTACCAAGTTATACATCACCACTGAAAATTAGGTTTTTTTGCTCTGCCGGGTTCATTAACTATGCATTGCAGAGCTTCAAGTCACCTTTGTTTTGGGAGCCAAACACGTCTCAACAAAACACACTTCAGTTAATACCCTTATTTACTTAGCATTTTAAGATTTCACAAAATTGCTGGACAATGAAATTCTACATTAGATCAGGAAAACTAAGAATAGTTTCTCCATCTCACTGAATTCTCATTTTAGTACCAAAAATCTTTACTCTCTGGATTCTGAACTCATTTACACACAACAACAAACTAAAGAATCTATCAAAAAGTTGTGGAAAAACATGCTCACATTGTTCTGATGCAAGACCTGCAGTACTCTGTTGACGTTGTTTAATGCATGTACTCGTGTGGAACCTCGTTCTTTAGGCTGAAAATAAAAAGTTACAATCTGTTCAACATCAGAATTAACTTGACAGACCAAACAAAATGAAAGATAGCAAAAATAACAGGACTCTTTCTTAATTTCCTCCAGATTTAAACTTTTTTTTGTAGTAATAGTAGTAAGAAAAACCAAACAAGATCATCCATGACAACTTCAAAACAAAAACTGGTCAGAACAATATTCCTCAATTCATGGCACACAACAAGCCTTGGATTCAAAATATGTTTCAGTTCATCTTCAGCAAGTCCAATATTTTTATTCCCAGCATCTACAGACTTATAAACTGGCAGTGCAACAGCAAAGTGAGAGTTCATGGGGCAAATCTGAGGCTTTTGAACATTTGCCAGAGTAGTTGACATTTTTTGGCTCCCAAGAGAGAACAAGCAGCAATTTGTTTTTCTGGCACAGAAAGCCTGCTAAATCTCTGCATACTGGGAAGAAGCTACACTTCCTGAATTTCCCTTCCTTTTAATATCGGAGGAAAAAGACCCACTGCAACACTTGACAATAACTGCCACTGCATTTGCTTTTAATCATTGCAATTTAACTCCTGTGGCAGAACACGATCATGCTGCAAAAGCATGGAGCTGAAATAGAAACACAGTAAATAACTTAGAAACAAGAGAACTCCTATTGTCTTGACCATACTTGAAATCACACCACAAATCATTAAAAGTACAAGTGAAATGCATCTGTTTAGAAAACAAGGCAAATCTACAATGTGAAATTTTAAAGGGCTGAAGGTTCCTCATAAGGTTGATAAACAATTTGAGATTGATTATAAAACAGTGGAATCAATAATTTAATCCCCAGTGATGTCACAGGTTTCACCATGCCTCATGTGTCTTTCTGAACAGGCATCAGAGTTATCTGGGGAAGAGTTTTCAGCCACACACACTTTCCCATACATGATTTGAACAGTTTTCAGCTTTTTCCTATCTGTATACCGCATAATTTTTCAATGGAGATGCAGATTTTTGTATTGCCTACTAGCTGTTGTCTCTTTTCTTTCCTTCTTCTTTGAAGGACCTTACATGAGCTTATTAGAAGTCCATAGGTATCCAGCTGAAGGCTGGTCTTCCTGATCATGCAGAAACAGATCTTTAAAAGATCACTGTATACTATATGAGTAACACCTCTGGTTCTACATCCTCTGCTGGACAGTATGTAAACCCTCAAGAGAGTTGCACAGTTAAACTTCAGCCTGACCCTATATCCCGTGAGTGGAAGTTCGTGGGAATTTCACAGGAACTGCACAGAACAAGTACACACTACAAGCAAAACAGGGTTTTAAATAAATTTTTAAAACAAAACAGAACACCACATGCCACAGTGTGGGTTTTGGGTTTTGCTTATTTGTTAGTTTGGGTTTTTAAATAAATAGAAATATGACTCAGACTTTCTCTTACCAGAGGTTTCCCCGTCAGACCCTCCAAAAGGTCCAAAAGCTTCCTTCCATCTTTCAGGTCTGTGAACATGTCCTTAACTGGGGGCTTCCCACTCTACAGAAGAAACAAAAGGAGTTATAAAATCAGTGTTTAAGCAGTACTTCCCCGAAAACAGGCACTTTTTTCTTTTTGTCTTTCAATTTATTCTTATTTCATACTGAAAGGAGTAAATGAAAGCTAGGGGACTGCAACCGTGACCAGGAAGGAACCTTTTCCTTCTTTAGTGTTTGGGGTTTTTTTCTTCCCTATCTCTGTGGTTCTGTGCATCAGCAGCCTTACACTCAGGAACCAAATCAGTGCATCCTGGCTCATGTTAGAGTAGACGCATTAGCACGCAAAGACGGCAAAGAAAGAAAGCTTGGCAAGTTTGAGGAGTCATTTCAGAAAGAATGCTTTGGTTTGGCTGCATCTAAAGGAAGAAGAAACTGGGGCTTTTCAGAAAGAAACTACTGGGACAAATTCTCACAGATTTAAAAAAAAAGAGAAAGACAACAAAAAGGACTTGGAATTGAGCCCTATGTAAGGAGCGGCCACTGTTCTACACAGACTAGTGGCTCAAAAGGAGTAATATTTATTGAAACAAATTAATCACTTTCTCTACCATAGAAAAAACAGCAAAACATGAAACTCAGAGCCATTCTATATAACACATTTCTAATTTTCTCTTTCTTTGGGAGTGGAGGGACCCTGTACAAGAATGGTGGTAGATGACAGCAGAATCATGTCAACCTTTTCCATGCTCCTCTTCAATCTTAGCTCTTTTTGGACCATAAGACAGTTATTGTGGGACAGTTCCACAGGGCAGACAGAGAATACAGACAGACAGCAACTAAGTGCATTAGCTTTATAATACTCACCTGCTGGCTGCCAGGAAATCAATTAAGCTACTGCTTTCAGTGGCCCTTTGAAGTGCCAATTTGAGAAGAAAAATATTTTCTAGGTATCACCAAAAACTCCAATATTGCTTTTTTTCTATCACCTTGACTTTATAACATTGTTCTTCAGATAGAAGACTGTCAAAGACTCATTTTACATTACATGAATTAGCTGACATAGATCTCCTCCACCTTCACTTATCTCCTCCTGCCCTGACAGCTGCTAGTAATTGCCAGATGCTGGCTAACAAATCAGAAAGAGAACTGAATGGCCCACTGAACCCCATTTTTTAGCAAATGTCTGGTTTTCCTCAAAATTCATAAAGGTTTTTCTTAAATGTTCAATTTAATTAAATTTGATACTTTTAAAACTACCCAAAAAAAATCAGAGCAAAACAGCTACAGAGCTGTATTTTAGTCTCCTGTACAGAAACATAACTAAATCTAACTCAATTTCAACCACCTAAACAGTGGCAGAATGATCTTTTAGCTAAGGTCACTTCTTAAAACACATAGATGCTAGCCCCAGTGTCCAATAATAAATTAGTTTTGCAATTAATTTTTCTGACAAATTTATTCTCCAATTAACTTTACAAATCATGCTTAAAAACGTGTATATACACATGCTGATGCATACTTAGGTAAAGGTCATAGAAAGCTATGTCAGACCAATACCGAATAAGAGTACTCATTAAATATCATTGTTTGATAACAACCTGCTATTACATATTGCCACTTTTTGACACTGCCTCCTGTGATATCCTCATAGCAAGCTCAGGAAATGCGGATCAGACAAGTGGGTGGTGAAGTGGCTTCGAGAACTGGCTGAATGGCAGACCCAGAGGGTCATAATCAGCAGCACAGGGTCTAGTTGGAGGCCTGTCACTAGTGGTATCCTCCATGGTTCAATACTGAGCCCAGTATTGTTTAACTCATTCATCAACTACTTGGGCAGAGAACCTCCTCAGCAAGTTCACTGGAGACAAAAAGCTGGGAGGAGTGGCTAAGAGTGCTGTGCAGACCTTGAGAAGTACCTCAACAGGTTGGAGAGATGGGCAGAGCAGAACGTTCTGAAACTCAACACAGGCAAGTACAAAGTCCAGGTCCTGCACCTGAGGAGAAATAATCCCACACACCATAACAGGCTGGCAGCTGACCTGCAGGCTAGCAAGTCTGCAGAGAAGGACCTGGTGGACAAGCTGTCCATGAGTCAGCAGTGTGCCCTTGTGGCCAAAAAGGCCAATGGTAAACCTAATAGGGTGTATTAGGAAGACCAATGCCAACAGGTTGATAGAGGTGATCCTGTCCCTCTATTCAGTCCTAGTGAGGCTGTATCTGGAGTGCTGTCTCAAGTTCTGGGCTCCTCAGTACAAGAGAGACGTGAAGGTCATGGAGCAGGTCCAGCAAAGGGCAACAGAGATGATGAGGGGACTGGAGCATCTCCTTTAAAAGAAAAGGCTGAGGGAGCAGGGCCTATGCAACCCCAAGAAGAAACAACTGAGACCTTATCAATGTCTACAAGTACCTGAAGAGAGGTTGTCAAGAGGATGGAGTCAGGTTCTTCTCAGCAGTGCCAAGCAATAGGACAAGAGGCAATAAGCAAAAGCCGATGCACAGAAAGTCTGACCTGAACATGAGGAAGTACTTCTTTACTGTGCAAGTGACCACACACTGGAATTGATTGCCCAGAGAGGTTCTGGAGTCTCCCTCACTGGAGAGACACAAAAAAACATCTGGATGCAATCCTGAGTAACATGCTCTAGAGCAATCTGCTTGAGCAGGGAAGCTGGACTAGATGATCTCCAATGTCCTTTCCAACGTTAACTATTCTGTGATTCGATATGTTGGAGAACAGGATAACCTAAGAGTAGATGCAGAGAAGCCTCTACTATGGTTTTGTGGTGTATAACAGGAGGAGATTACCCCAGATACCAGCACACATAGTCTACATTTGATTTTTCTCACCACATTGAAGATACTAAAAGTAGGTTTCTAAGAGCATGAGAAAATTGTTCATGTGACCAGAAAAGCTGACAGGACTAACAGAGGTCTCACGGGATGCAGTAAGACTCAAACACTCATTGTGAAAGAAAAAAAAACCCTGTTAGCCGTTGAAGTGCAGGTCTCACCAGAGCAGGATAGAGGAGAATCACCTCCACTGACCTGCTGGCCACACTTGTTTTTATGAGGCCTAGGATACAGCTGGCTTTCTGGGCTCGAGCACACACTGCTGTCTCATGTCCAATTTCTCACCCACCAGTAACCCCAAGTCCTCCACAGGGCTGCTTGCTACTTGGCCTTTTTGAACTTCATGGGATTCATATGGGCCCACTCCTCTAGCATGAAGGTCTTTCTGGATGATGTCCATTCTCTCTTGTGAATCAACTGCACTTGTTCAGCATGATGTCATCTGCAAACCTGCTGAGGGCACACTCAAACCACTGCATGCCACTGACAGTATTGAACACTACAGATCGCATTATAGACCCCTGGGGGACAGCACTTGTTACTGATCTCCATTTGGATATTGAGCAGTTGACTGCAAGGCTTTGGATGCAGCTATCCAGCCAATTCCTTATTCACCTAACAGTCCATTCATCAAACCTGTATCTCTCCAATTTAGTGACAAATGATATTGCGGGAGACACTGTCAAAGGCCACATAGATGAAAGGCCTTTATAATTATATCACTAGTTAAAATTATATAAAATCAGAACATGTGTAACACCAAAACTGAGAACGGTATAGCTACATATCCTCAAAAAATTGTTGCCTTAGGTCCAGAAGCTAAAAAAGGATTTGGATCTGCTGAAAAAGCAGCAAGAGGCCTCATTTAATACAGTGCAACAAGGGTGTCAAGAGTACACAGCCCTCTTTGTTTCCATCCCTTCACTTTATGTGCATGAAAACAAGCAGAATGACTTCCTGCTTTCAGTCATTCATTTCAACAGGTCATGGTACATTCCAACCCTATGCCATGCACCCTGCTGTGATAGTGGAAATAATACAGATTTGCTTTCTCAGGAGAATGACTTCCATTTCTCTGGCCATCAGAGCACTATGTTTTGCTGTCAGTTAGAAGAGTCAGCAGACAGGTATTAAATTATTTCTGCAATCTAAGCTGCTCCTTCCTGGTTTATAAAAGTATCCACTATCCTCAAAACAGAGACAAAGCAAAATGCAAAACTTCTGTATTTAGTGAAGTCTAGCAAATGCTCTCCTCAAGGGAAGGAAGTCAGCTCACAGGAAGCACTTCCATAACTGCAAGGTGACCCAAGCTGGCTAAGAAAGGGCTGCAGCACCCACCCCACCAAGCCCATCACCACCTCCACAGCAGCACACCCATGAGTAAGGCTGGAAACCTGCTCCTCCAGCTTCCCACACCCACCTGAAGCACATGCAGACACCTGGTGGCAGTGGCCACCCAGGCAGCCTCAGCTGTCCCATCAGGGCACAGAGCCAGCCCTCACAGTCAACTGATGTTGCAATAGGAGCAGAGACTTCACAGGCACTGCATCCTGCTCTGCCCACACTGCCTCCTCACACCCATGTGTTTTCCTTACATGTGAACACACAGATCCCTGCAGGATCTGCTAAGTGAACCATATGGTCTGCAATGAGGAACATCAGTGCTCTGTCCTCCAGTGCAGGTGGATGTTGGCCTGCTTTCTTGGGATGCATTCGATAGCAACCTGCTGTGCTACAGCAAAGTCTTCTACTTCCCTTTTCCAGACAGAACAGCTACAGATCTCAATTTCTGACAGCTCTATGACTCATGAAGATTATTAAGCACAGACAGACATGGGAAAATAATTATTTTTTTTAATTGCAGCCCAAGGGATAATCCCATACGTCCATTTCCCAGGAAAAGACATGGAAAAGTTCTGTGGCAATGCTGACAAAACAGCTATGCCAGGCACGGGCCAGCCCAGAGCCAGGCCACACTGCTGCCATCACTACCATCTCCTTGTGACAGAACACATGTAAAGCCCCACCACTTCACACATAGGGCCCACCACTGAGCCTGATGGGGCAGACTGCTGTGGTAGAGCAATCTGGAAACACAATACATGGCCACTAAGGCTGGGCCTGTGCTTCTAGTCAGCGAGCCTAACTCAAACCAAGGTCCAAGAGAGCACACTGAACCCTGGTTCTGACCCATCACCTGCCTCATGGAGA